GTGGAAAAGAAAGAGTAATGAGAAAAATATGAATTAATCCCACTTATTGTCAGTAATGTACAGCCACACTTAAAGTCTTTTGCATCAGGCTGTTCCTGTAAAAGATTAAAAATATTGCACCTTCACGTGTCAAAACTTTCATTCAAAAATGGAAAAGTAAAGGCTTTAAATTGTGTTTAAAGGCAAACGGTTCCAGCAATCCACATGATGAGAAATATAAAATCAGTCAACCTTAAAAAACAGCAGCCAACTGTTTTCTACCATCAACATTATTGCCATAGCAATTAAATTAAGTCAATATAAAGCACAAATCAATCTTTTCCCTGGGAATGGCTCTGACGAGAGAGCGTATGTCCAATATTATTACAACTAGTCAGAAGCCTCGCATCAACAACGGTGACTCCGCCGGGGGTTTTGGTACTAAAGGCTTCGCTGCGGTTTCAATGCTGCCCCACGTCTGCAGCCCCCACGTTGCACTTTTATGAAAAACAAACAGAGAGCAGCAGAAGACCACAGGCATGCCCTCCCTGCCATTATGTCAATGGAGCCATTGAGACACAGGCCATTACACACAGACCCATTTATCTGCAGATGGGCAACATGACAATTAAGGCCCGGCTCCGTGTGCTCGCTGTGTGTCCACGTTTGAAGACATCAGATCGTTTTCTTTTAACCCCAAATGAAGGAGACAGAAAGATGAGCACGAAGCAATACATGTGTGCCGCCTCACGGACAAACACACACAAATGCGCATATGGAGACAGAAGAAAAGCATGTGGCACTTCTTAGACGGGTGGGAAATGAGGTTCTGTTAGACAATCAGGGAAGCGACAGTGAGGTGACTGCTCCCTCCTGTTGATCAAGTCTGCCATTAAAAAGACAGAACAATGGAGATGAGAGGAAAAAGAAGAAAATTGTTTTTTGTCTTTGAGAGGGTCAGACCATATTTTCAGGTACTTTTTTAACCATCTCTGGATGACAAAGCTTTGTAGCACACAGTTAAATAAAATATGCATCTAAGTGTTTTTGATTACCTTTCCATGATATATGCTGCAGATGCCTCTCTCCAGATCAGGCAAATGTGACAGCAGAGATCTGATGGAGTTCAGAGTTATCGAGTCTGACTCCATCATTTCCTGCACAGCATCCTGTCTTTCTGCTATACACCTGCAGGCGAGAGGAAGGAGGAGACGGGAGGAAAGAAAAGAGGTGTGAATTACAAAGACGGGCTGAAAGGCGAGGAGTTAAAGCCATCGAAACAGTCGAGCTTCGCAAGGAGCAAAAGATATGTGTTCTTAGAAAAGCGGAATCCTTTCTGATTGAAATGATTGCCGCTGATTGGATTCTTTATGAATTATTGCAACCCAGCTGATTGCAGCTACAGTGCTGCGTTTAAGTGCCAAACAACTCCTGACTTCCTACAGTTTTTCATATTTTGTCACATAAACACCTCAGAAAAAGGTCCAAGCAATTATACTGCAGATTCTGCCTACAGTTTCCGTTTCACACATGTGGCAGACTGCAGGAAATTCTCAGGCTGAGTTTTATTCACATAACTGGAAAAACTCTGAGGTGAAAGCTCTGCAAAGCAGGCAGGAAGCAGGAGAGAAACCGAGCTGATTCTTACAGTTAAACGTCTTGCAGAGTCACTAATATCCATTGAACTTTATCACATTTTGTCACACAAACTTTAATGTGTTCTATTGTGAGTTTATGAAATATACTAGTGCTGTCAATCAATTTAAAAAAATCTAATTAATCCCCAATCTTGACTTTGTTGGCTTGAAATGTAAAAATGCACATTTTAAAAAAAAAAACAGTTTAAGGAAATGTTTTATTGTCTCAAACCAAACCTCTCAGGTTTCATATTCATTTAGGTTAAAAAAAAGAAGTCTTTTTTTTTCAATGGTAATTAACAAATAAATTATGATATAAAACTGTGACCTTAAACCAGAGCAGCAGTAGCAACAATGTTTAGATCAAAACATATGTATCTGTTAGAATGGCCCAGTCAAAGTCTGGACCCTGAATCTTATTGAGAATGAAACAAATTAAGATCTGTGACTGAAACGTCACAAAATGTGAACAAGAAAAACACAGGAAACCTGAGTAAGTAAAAGATGGAGTAAAATATCTGTCAGACGATATGAGATCTAGTTAGTAATAATAATTGTAAGTGGGCAATTAATTTTGGTTTTAAAAGTGGTAAAGTTGAACAGTCAGACTCTGTTGAGTGGGTAGTTGGTTTAATTTTGTTCTCAGTTCTTAATAAAAGGTTAAATTATTTAAAAAGCAAATTAGTCATCAAGCTCCATGTGGTTGTCTCGCTCCAGTAACTCCACTTTTTTTTTTTTAGAAGATGTGGTAAGAGAAACAAAAAAGTAAGATCTCAAAAATGTAAATGAATGTTAATATTTCTGGTTGTGTCACATTTTGATGGGAGAATTTATTTGACTGCAACACCAACGCAATCCTAAAATTACACTCCTGTACAAGCGTTCAAAGTGACAAATGGTGATAGTTTTAGATGGCTTTTACTTTATTATAGTTAACATAAATGACACAATTTCACTAAAAAGAATATTATTTTCAGCTTTTCTGTCTTTCTCTTCACGTTCGATCCACTTCTGAAAAGCTGTTCATCTTTAAACGATCTGAGGTTTTGCAGACAGGGAAGACATTAAGACATTCACTCCAGAATAAAACAAAAAATAATTGTAAAAACACATGAAAGAATCGACTTAGATTGAATTTCAAATAACTCCATTAAAGCAATTCACTGAAGAGCACAGAGAGTTCATCTGAGTATGGCCATTAAAAAGCCTCAAACAAGCAGATTGGAGCAGATTTAGAGAAGTTGTGACCTGAACATCATACTCAGAACGAAAAGTCATGGTGCATCGTCTCGCTTTGGGCCAGAACATCCGTGCCTTTTGCTGATGTGCAGCATGTCGAGGAATTAATCCGCCTGCGTGTAATCAGGATTAGATTCATGTCTAAATTCTGCAGAAATGTTATCCATTTAATCTGAAAAGCGGTGCCCAATCCACAACCATAATCCCTGTGCAGAAAGAAAAGAGGGCTGCCCTCAGAGACAGAAATTACTAACAATTTGACTGTATGGAAAACAGAATTAGACTGAAAATCCCTGTTTTTTTTTTTTTTAAGCAGCTGACTCTAAAACTTTACATGCTTTCTTTCTTCTGCTGTAACCAGTAGAGGAATCAATGCACATTAACATTATGGACTTTGTATTGTATGTATTGTTAACCTGAGTTATTTGTTGTGGATGTTGCACAGTTTCATTCACAAACAAGACTAAAGCAACAAGAAATATAGGAGTTCTTCTTGGAGATCATTTATGGAGGTCATAATGATGAAAATAGGACAATAACATTTTTCATTCTCAAACTTTGTTTTCCTGACATTTTACTTAATGATCCATATCAGAAAACAAAGTGGATATCAAGGACCTGGAAAGCAGCAGAGTTTCTTGTTTTCTCCCAGTCGGTTCTCTCACGTCAACTGGTGGTGACATTATTTAACACCATTAGTCTGTCACTGGTTTGGTTTTTCCAGTAGAACGTATTTCTGGCTCCCTCCGTGTTTAGCTAGAATATTTTCAGCCACCATCTCGCTTCACCAGACCAGCCTTTCTGCGGGTTTCAACAACTCAAATTTAAGGCTTTTTAAAACCATTCTGAAGGGCATCTAAGACCTGCATCTCAAAAGAAATGTACAAACTTCATCCAGCAAGCTTGTGTTAGATTTACACTTACCCATGATGGTGTGTGTTTTTGCAAAATGCAAGCAAGGGGAGACTCAAACTGACAGATAAGTCCCACAAGAAAATAAAATACTGAATATACACGACTAAGCAGTCCTTCAAAGACAACATTTAAGACCTGTGATTAAAGTATTTAAGGCCAACTTACAATTATTTAAATGAATCGAAGACATTCTAAGGTCTTATTTTTAGATACATGGATTTAAGACTTTTTAAAGATGAGCTTGCAGACAGACTTGTACCTATCAATCTCTTGCTTTGGAGTAAGTAAGTACATTTTATTTATATGGCTCCTTTCACAGATAAAAAATTAAAAAATTTAAAAAAAATCACAAAATGCTCCACAAACTCGGAGCCTAAAAACCTAAACACAGTTCAAAATACAAAAAAGAAGTAAAATGATGCAGATAATTCAATAATCATATTCTTATTATGGCATTTAGCAATAATTGTCGCATATTTTACTGATATTGTGCAGGCTGACTGAGAACCCAGTGAGAATGAAGCTGGGGGTCAAAGGTGACGTGTACTCACTGCGGCTCTGTGAGCGGCTGGCTGACCCACTTCCTCAGCAGTCTCCGTCCAAACGGAGTGCGAACGTGGTCCAACACCCACAACAGACTTCCCCTCACGCTCCCATCTGTCTATGAATCAAAGGAAAAAAAGAAAAAACTCAATTCACCTTTGCACCATCAAGCAGCAAAGCACTTTAGGATAAGAACATAAAAATTATTGAAATGGAAATCACAGGGAGTAAATCATTACGGCTGACATGCAGAGCACAACGCTCCAGACGCATTAGGCAGCAATAACAACATATGATTTAACAAATACATGAAGGCCGAGATGCTCAAGTATCAAATTTTGAGCTGATGACACAGAGCCAAAGTAAACAGCGTTTGGCAGCGCAGCGTGTAAATCTTCCAAAGCCGCACAAAGTGCATTATGTCCTGCAGCACAGGCTTCGGTTCGAGGCAAATACAAAGAGTGACCTTAAAATATTTCATAGCGTAGTATGAATCATGCATTAACTCCACATGTACAATCTTATTTTCCTTAAAAATTGACCAAGACAGCTAAATGACAGGAGCATGTACCTGATTATTGAGGATTTCCAGGTTCCTGAGAGTGGCAGCACTCAGCTTCATCCCCCCTGATTCGCTGGACAGATGCCGAAATGAGCTGCACAAAATGAAAAATCTTATTTAAACACCACTTACCTCCCCTTGTCAGAACAATTTTAATGCTTAGTTTTGTAGATGAGATGACAGAAACTGTCACAAGCCCAACAAAAAACGAATGGCATATATAAGAAGGTGTTTATTCCCTAATTTCAAAGGTTGCAGGTAAATCTCGAATTGTATGTTTGTAATAATAAATACAAGTGTCAGGCTGTCAGTTACATGTTCCTGGTTATTTTAAACATAGCAAAGATTCATTACAGTAATGTTCAACAAAGAAAAAAAAGCTACATTTTCTTGTAAATGCTGTACCCAAAGAAATTTTTAATTATTATCTCTATATGGAAGAATTACAGTAATTATCTCAATAATCTCTCCCAGGATTCCCAACATCAATCTTGCAGGATGCGTCTGTGTCGTGCACCTTTCGTTTCTAAGAACCCTCTCCAGATTGAATTCCTGGAGGTACTGGATGAGCGGCCCCAGGCAGCAGATGACCGGGCTGTCGAAGGAGGCCACGCTCGACAGAGAGCGCGAGTCTGGAGGAAAACAAAACACGCAGTCATGTTCGGATTTTTAACACTAAAGCCCAGCCGTGAGTCATAGCTCAGTCCTTGTCAGACACATCCAGTGTTACCGCTGAGTGGCTGTCATGGTATTAATAGCAGGAACCAAACAGGGGGGAAAAATGCGTTCAGAGTAAAAGCTCTAAGCGGAACAAAATGACACAACATAAAAATCCACCTTTCTCCGGGGTGTGACAGTAGAACTTGACGACTGCGTTCATTGCAGAGGTGAACTCAAATTCAGCGCTGTCCCTCCTCTCAACTCTGATTCGGTCATCAGTCTGAGCACTGGAGGGGAACAACAACAGCAATAACCTTCATTTATTATAACGACCATGTGTTAGTATCGATCCAGCGATAAACAACAGTGTTGCTTGTCACTCTGTTTGAACGTGGATACTTCACATCTAACCACAGTTTTCTATTCGAGAAAAATACAGATGCAGCTGCATATTGTGTTCAAGCACTCTATGGAGACGCAACAGCCTCAGTCACAGCCATAAAACCACATTCTCCTCTGCGTCTCCCTGGTGCACCATCGTATCTCCCTGTTGCTCCATCCACTCTCTCGGCGTTGCACCTCTCAAGGACTCTGTTGCTTTGTCTGCCGTGTTGTTGCCATGGCTCTCTTCGCAGCGCTGAAGCACTTTCGGTCTTCCGTTTTCCAGCACCCATGCGCAAACACACAATCATCATATTTCAGTTCAGCAAATGGTCCGTCCAGGAGCTCAGATTATATAAAAGCAATCAATAGATCCCACATTGTGCTTGAAATTAGACTGGGGCAATTAATCACTGAGCCAGTCAGTTGCACCACATTGCGAGATTTACAAGAACTGCGACTGAAGCACTTATTGATCCAGGGTTGGTGTTGTAGGAGCATTTCTGCAAAAGCCTGATGGGGCCTGAGCGTGGTGAGGACTGCATTAAGCTGAGCCCGACTTAAAATACTGAGACGGCTAAGGCTGGTCCTGGTTCAGGTTTATACAAAAAGAAATGAAAGAATAAAAACAGAATCAGTTTTGGTACGGTTGATACTTTGAGCTAAAACCATAAAATACAAAATATAAAAGTATTAGAAACATTTAGGTAAAATAGGGATTTGACATAAATTCAACAGGCTGTCAGTTCATACATCTAATAGTATCTCTTTAATATTTTAACTGTCCATAAAACCTAAGCGCCATTCCTGCAGGGTGAAAAATAAACCCTCCCCCCCTAAAAACAAAAAACATACTCTGAGCAGTCGAGTTTGTTTTTTGGTGAATTTGTGTGAGCTGGAGTGAATCTATTCCGGGATGTTTGCATTTAATCTTAACATTTCATATTCCCCACCTTAAACCTCCAGGTAAATGCAAACTCCCTCTCCGTCTGCACGAGTAAAGCCACCAACACCACACCCAGTTGTCACAATCAACCTCTGAGGGACTCATTACCAGCCACTCCATGGACACGAGTCCGTTGCCAGGGGTCCCGTCTCGTCTGCCCACCCCAGAGACAGAAGCACCGACAGGCTGACGTCAGCAGCCACAAAAATCCCTCGATTCAGACGCTCTCCTGGGCTGCTCCTTTAGAGGAGCCTCATTACCGGCACTCATTGAAACATTTATCTCTGAATTACTGATGCACAATGTATCATTTCTCTCAGGTTCAGTCATTAAAACAGTGAGAAAATAATCAGCAAGAAAATTTTGTCATTAAGCTCCGTTTGCTACGGACGTGTAATAGACTTATCTGAGACACAAGAGGCCAAAGAGGAGTTTGGTTCTGATTGGTAGCTCCCCGAGGAGCAGTGATTATCAATGAGACTGATTGAAAATTGAAAAAAGAAAGAAAATAGCTGCAAGGATTGTGCAAGAGAGGATAATAAATTTGCTCCAAATCGTTTTTGAAGGGAAGAGACGCAGAATGAGGCAGACATTTCTCCTGTTTATCCAACTCTCAGCTTGTAATCAAACGCTCCTCGCTCCCTCTCTTTCTCTTGTCTCATTTCCTCAGGATTTCGCGGTCATGGCTGGGCTACAGAGGACGTCAATGGCGCCGATGTGAACAAGAAGGACGGCACAACAAAGCAGCTCAACGTCAGCGGTGCTGGCCGTGTCGTCAGTCAGACAGACATAAATCTCAGTTCTTTGTCTTTTTGATCTCACAGTTGAAACTAGATCTTCCTGATGTTAAAAAGAAGTTGTGTTTTCTCCCTCTTGCGAAACCAAAGACATAAATCGATTGTAAAATTGGAGAAAGGAGATTTTGTGTTGATCAAGTCAGAAAATGACTGGAGCAAGAAATCTCCTGTATCAAGCAAGATGAAACGTTTCTTTCTTTCTCCGATCAGTGACTGCATCATACTGAATGAAGCACAGTGAGAAACACAACAGTCCTCTATGAGGAATGACGAGTTAGACTGAGAAATACGAAATATCAGCTATTTTAGTAACAATAAAATGCAGGAATGTAGACAAAACACATTTTATTACTTTTATTATTTACAGTAAGAGTAGTGGGCTGGAAAAGAACCCAAAGTTATCCTGCCCCCAATTACCGTTAAAAAGAATGAAAAATATGTTAAAAAAAACAAAATGATAATAATCCCAAAACCTCAAAAACTTTTTATTATTAGTTAATAATGTTTGCCAATGCAATAATCAATGCTGTTTGTGTAACTATGGGGAAAAAATAAATATTTTTACAGGTCAGTTCTGAACATACATAAGGAAAAAGATTGTTTGCTTATTTCTTTCTGACTAAAAGGAGTTTTAAAAAAACAGCCAATTGTCAATCATACGGAAATAAAGCTTTTTTTGTCCAATTTACACATTAAAGTTATAGAAGCAACTAATATAAATTATCTCAATAAACTCCTTTGATCAATTTTATAATCATGCATTAAGTGTGACCAGCATTTGGAAAATTAATCATAACAGTATTTTTTTCTAATAACTTTGTTTAAACAGTGTTTTTGAAACTCATAAAGTGTGACATGATTGTCCTTCTAAATCAAACTTTTATTTACTTTGAGCCAAAAACCTTCACAAACTAAACTGTGAAGTTTCCAGTTTGAGCAAAATCCATCCACAACCTTAAATACTAAATGAATCTTGTGGACCCGCTGAGCCTCGTGGTGAGAACCTGCGTGCTGAAGACCCCATCTCATAACCGCTCAGTGCGCCCGCATCGATTTCCTCTGCCACACTAAGCCCAAAGTGCTCCGCTCAGCAGGGCTGCATGCCTGCCTGCCTGGGGAAATCTAAACACAACCCCTCAGAATCAAGTGAACCAAACTCAGACACACTCAGTTCTATCGAAGCAGAGATAAGCTCTGCAGAGGAAAATGAAGACACGTCGCCCCCTTGTGGCGTGACAGCAGATTACCTGGCATTAGCGATACTGAGCAGCAGTTTGGAGGTTTGATCCGAAAGGTCCGAAGGCACGAGAACCTCCACTGGGTTTATCCTCAGGATACGGCCCTCCAGCTCGGAGCGGGACGGACCATCAGGGAAACAGTCCAGGAACACGTCTCCAGTGCTGGGCTGGACGGCCTGATGCACAAGATACAAGCACAGGGACAGAAAAAGGAGAAAACAAAAGATTAGAGGGTAAAGAGGTAGTTTGATCACTCAGTTCATATTAGATGGCTGACTTTACAAATAAAGTCAGCCATATTTTTAAATATGGATAAAAATGACTCTCCTTCCAGTTCAATCAAAGTTGAAATTGGAATTTTTAAATATTGTCTTTAATATTTATGACAAGAGGGTAAATGACTTTATTCCTTAATCCAGACAAAACATGTGTAAAATATTTCTATAAGAGATTTTTCTCTTACAAATTCAGGATTTTTTTTCTTACAAATTTCTCACGTCAGAGGATATTTTAGTTCTCATATCAGAAATGTATGCCTTTAATCAAGGAAAAAAAAATTCTTGCCAATTTATTATATTTTGACATCAGAGAATATTAAAGACGTTTTTGGCTGAAATGTATCCATTTTTCATTTTAATCCATGATGGCCCTAATACTCTGTTATGGATTGAATATAACACAAACAAAAAAGTCATAAACCTGTGGATGCATCATTGTTCATTTTGATCAAATACCAATGACATCTGCCAAGAAAGACTCCAATATAAAACGTCACCATTGACCAACACTTTCATATAAGTTTTAATAGATAAATTTGTTATGAAAATATCTCACTTTAACAGAGGAGGAGATGTAATTGGCTAGCGAACTTCTTTAATTGGAAAATATTTCCAACATGAGGCAGCCAGACTCTCTCAAACCTGTTGACAAATAACCACTGATCTTCTCATAGTTTATCTAGCTGAAAATACCATTTCCTTCAGGAATTACTTAAAATCTTCTAGATTCCAGATAAACTCAGATTTGATGTGCTTCATATTGTTGAAATGCACACCATGTTGCTTGGTTTCAGCTGCAGTTTATGTTTATCAGACTCACCACCACCCCCACAGAGAGCTGCTTCTTCACTTTGTCCCAGTTCTCACTGATGCACAGCAGGAAGCTGTCAGGAGGGTCCGACACCACGTCAGCACAGCCCCCCTCCTCCACGTCTGCCACTCTACAGACCGGGTTTACGTCTGGAAATAATACCTCGTCAAGGACATCAAGGGATTTAAAAAAAGCTACTTTAGGGGCATGTAAGGACAGAAAATGCCTGTAAGGATACCCTCTCCCACCAGAGTGGACTTGGTGTACAAGGCGCTGAGCTGACGGCTGAACAGAGCGTTTCTGTTGGTCCCTGACGCCTTCAGCGCAGACGTTTCTGTCTGCTTCACAACGCCAACCTAAAAATGACAGACAGAAGTGACGAGACGATATCTGTCTCTGCTAACGGAGTGGAAGGGGGAAGAAGAGAATCAGAATCTAGCAATCATCTGCTACCTTGTGTCCATGAGACACCAGGCGCCTGACGTGAACAAACAGGCGGTGAGTCGGGATGCTGCACGTCATGAAGTTATGATCCAGGTGACAAGTTATGTTCAGCTCTTTGGCAGCAATCTGTTCAAATGCAAAAGTTTCTAAATGATTATTTGGTCTAAACCTGGAGCAAAGATGTTTTCTCTCCTCCCCCGGGGTACTAGGAAATGAGAAGTGTGTAGTTTCAATGAGAATACTTTCTTTTGCAAAGTAGCAGATACACTGGAGCTACGATTACATCTGATTATTTAAGCATACTCGGGTTTTTACCTCTGCATCTTCTCCAAAGAACCTGTATTTGTAGCCACACTCCACTGCCAACAGCACGTCCTTATGCTGCTGTTTCAGCTCCATGACCTGCTGCTCCAGGGGGGTGTATGTGCTTCTGGAGCGTCTGCAGGGGGCGCTGGAGTCTGATGGAGACTCTGCAACCTTGCCTCCCTCCCTTCCTCCTGACTTTGTGATCTTAGACAAGCAAAATCCCTGCAGGGGGAAGAAAATATGCTCAAATGTGGTTATTTTTAGTTTGTTAGCAGTGCTCAAGTTTGAAGTTAAGCTCTTCGAACAGCGGTGCATTAAAAAAAGATTGTATTGCTCAGTAAAATTTAATTGAGTGGCAATTAAAGTAAATGATTCACTGACTCCTTCACTGCTCCAGGTTCCCATCAATGATGAATATCCCAATAAAATAACATAAAGTCAATCATGCAATTATGACACAAACTTCAAATATCCTTTTTAGGAGCAAATCTGCTCTGTCATGTGTTGGGAACCAGCGTCTGTATATGGTATGCCCGAAATGCCAAGACTGGACACATGACAAGAAAAATAAACAGCAGGTAAAGGGAATAAGGACAAAGTAAACCAATAAAAGGAAGTGAAAAAAGAAACATTTGTACCTTCTGAGCAAACTGTTTAAACTGTATTCAGACTGTATAGGTTTGCAGTTTATCAATGGAGGTGGCAAATTATTCTAAGAATTACCAGCTCAGATCAAAAAAGCACAGAGAAAACAAAGTTGATCAAAGTGACAAAAAGTATTTAATCATCATGACTATAGTATGTGTCCAATCTTAGTAAATCTTAGCACTGTTTCCTATGCAATATTTATAGCCAGGTTTAATCCAAACATAAAGAATACACTCCCTGCTTATGAGTAACATATTCAGCTTGTTGAATGGATTCTCACTGCATCAGGCGTCGGCACAGAGAGAGTTCCAGTAATGTCATTGATGGAAATGTTGATACTTTTTACCATTTATTCACTGCTATATCTGCTGTGTTTTTTTCTCTGCAGGTGTTTTCCTGTTAAAGAAGTTTCCAGACAATGTGCAGACGCTTTCGCAGCCGTTTACAAAGATAGCTGAACTGTGACATCCTGTGCAAAACGCCTCACTTTGCAGCTGCCATATATGGAATGCATTTCCTGCACTTGCCTGTGCTGTTGAATTATCACTATGACGGCACGCCTGTGCTTTGAGGAGAATGAATACCGAAGGTTTGCAAGCTCTTGTTGGAGTTAGCCTAAACAGTCTGACACACTTCTCTCGTTTTGTAAAAGGCAAGTCTTTGTGTCCTTGTGATCTTTTCAGAGTTTATGTGAAGAGTAAACTTAATCATTATTTGCTTGATGACGCGAGCCTGGCTTTACTTGACCCCATCTGAAAGAGGTAGAGGTCAGAGGCCCTAGTCAGAACATTTATAGAAAGCAGCTAAATATTATATTCAGGGCTTAAACTACCAACCTTTGAGGTTTAAATATGTTCTCATGTCTTTTTCACATAGAGAAGAATTTGTTTAACATACCAGATTAGTGACAGCCAGCTCTGGATCCTCTTCGTCATGATTCTGTGTTTCATAATCCCGCTTCTTCTCTGTCCCAGGCAGTGTCTTGCTGATTTGCTGATGAGAATCCACAAAACTAGGCGAAACAGAACTCCTCATATTAGAGCTTTTGCCGCTGCGGTCATCCATCTTTGTTTCGTCCTCGATGGCCCGGAGAAATGGATCAGCCATCATGCAGGAGAAACCTTTCAGCTTCTCCAAAGTGGAGGAGCAGAGACCTCCTCGTCCTCCTCCTTCTCCTCCTCCTCCTCGGTTCAATGTCGGCTTTGCCTCTAGGGAGAAGAAACAAACCAAGAATATTTAGTTTTCAAACAGTAAAGGAAATATTTTTAGAAGAAATGAAATTAGATGATAAGCTTGTGTTCACCTTTAACACTCTGAGAAGGTCCGGGCTCACACTGCACGTCTTCCACCTGGTGGCCCTTCACAGCCAGTTTGGTTCGTTTTGATGGCAACCCATCTTCATCACCAGAGGAAAGTTTCAACTAAAGTACAAGAGCCAAATAATCACAGGTACAATAAATTAGTGTGTACCTAAAAAGCTAATTAACGTCAATATTTAATTCAAGAAACTCAAAAATTTTGATTTGGAGAAACAGTGAAATATTTAAAGCGATTGTTTTTTATTATAATTTTGATGATAATGTTTAACAGCTAATTAAAGCCCTAAATGTGGTTTATCACAAAAGTATAACTTTACCTAAAACCAATAAGAAACAGCAGAAATGTATGGAAATGTATATTATTCTACTGTAAAGTATGAGCCTTCAGTACTTGGCTGGGTCCCTTTTTGCATGAATTGGTGAATCAGTGATTGGAGGCAAGCAGTCTGTGGCTTTGCTGAGGTTTTGATTAATAAATTTATCCATTCATTCATTAATCCAGGTTGCCTTCAGCTCATCTGCACTGTTGGGTCTGGTGTCTATGACATTCTGCTTGGGCTACAGGTCAGTACAGTTTGCTTATCAATAAAAGGAGAGTAACACCAGCAGGTAGTATTCCCTTAGCAATGTGGACAGATGCCAAGTTTTGTTGGAAAATTAAATCAGCAACTCCATAAAGCTTGTCAGCGAAACATTAAATATTTTAAAAGTTCCTGCAAATGGCTGCTCTGAAGATGACATGGCACCCTAAATTTCACACTGTGAAAACCTCAACCAGTACCTGAAGCAACTTTGATTACTCTCCACTCTTCCTCCAGACTCTGTTACCTTGATGTCTGAATAAAATACAATATTCAAACATCAAGGCTTCTGTGGACTGTGATTCAAAGTCCTCCAATAAAGGTTCAATTATACCTATTGCACTTGCATCTTTGTCTATCACACTTCTTCCTTCCTCTCAACGTCCAATTAATATAACTGGACACAGCAATATTTCAATACATGATTCCTTTAGCTGTGACTTTTTTTCAACCCATAATAGTGGAGGACTCCAATGACTGAGTGCTGATAGAGCAGAGGTCACAAAATCCCCATGAATTAAGAGCTGTGGTTTAAAAACCTTTCTTAGTGTGACATTATACTTTCCGAGGAACTAAATTCTGGAAGAGTTGCATAAAGCAAACCACAGATGACATGTCGGATATGAAATGAGTTAAGTAGCAGACCTCACCTTTCCTCTTGAGAGCCGATGCTCTGCAGGATTTGGTTTAATCCCACACTGAGGTCTGCTGCTGCTGCTGCTCAGTCCTCCAAAGTACCTGCTGATGGAGGTCTGAGTAGTGCAGGGCTTCTTCACAGACTTTGGCATGTTTACATTTCTTTTTTTAACCGAAATGTTTTAAAAACCTGCATAAAACCGGTCATAACGAAGTAGTTGAAGCTCCACCGGCTTTTCAAAACATAGCGGCGCAGGAGCTGACGTCACCCAGGCGCGTAAAATGACGCCGCAACGTATTGATGTGCATTACCGTCATCTACTGGAGTGGAGTGTGTATACTACGTATAAACTCTGTATCCTATCAATTTCGTCTTCTTAAGGTTTTTCAGTAAAGAACAAAAATATTCAGAATTGAAAAGATTATTTAAAATATCTTGTGTATTTAACTGTAAGTTTGCTAAAACGTAATTTGGATATAATTTTTCTGCCTTTCTACACCAATGCATCATAAAATACACTATCAACTACTGGCCATCAGCTGCAAATGCAAGAAATTATTTTTGTTAAATCCAATATGGCCGACAGATAATAAAAGCATTGCAACCGACCCGGTCCCTCCTTCTACTGTAGACGACTCTTGCAGGTAAAAAAAATATTGTGACATCAGATAACCCCTAAAGAACAATACTACTGATATATTTTTCAAATAACAACTTTGTATTTGGAGAAACTTACAATTGATCACCTAAAAATTTTTTTTTTTTTACTTTTTACTAAATTTTTTTCCTACCTTTTTTATGCCTTAAGAAAATCAAAAAACATTTTGGAAAAAAATCCTGACACAAAGGATCATAATTCATGCATGAAACGGTTCATTTCTTTTTTTCTTTTTCCCAGGGTTTTAAAATTTCTTAACATGTATGATGGCTATGCTGGCATAATCAAATACAGACCGTACTAAACCCGTGTATTGCTTTCAATGTTTTTCTCTCAGTATCCCACTCACTCCCCACCAAACACCTCATTACATTTAAAACTCTCTTACACTTTTCCACTACTTTTTGAAAATGAATTTTCCAAGTAAGGTGTTCATCCAGCCTTAAACCCAAAAACTTAAATGGCTTAAACTTAAATCATGATTATATATTTGCAATTTTAGATTTTCAAACACTTCCTTTGTAAAAAATAAATGAATAAATAAATAAATAAACTCTTAGTTTTGTCTATAGAATTTTTAAATCTCCACCTAAAGGACCAATCTTCCATTTTATTAATTGCTTCTTGTATATTTTTAACAATACAATTTAAGTTTTTACCCTTTTTCCAGATTGTTCCATCATCAGCAAATAAAGAAAACCCCATTCCACTCTCCAAAATTGTCAAACATATGTTTGCCGTACGCTATTCTTCCCTAAGAAAGTATAGTGTACTTCCTTAGGGAAGTACGTCAAACCACTTCCCTAAGGAAGTAAAGCGAAAAGATTTTCTTCTGAAAATTTTTTCAGAAAGATTTTCAACCAAAAATCTTTCTGAAAAATGTTGCCCTATTCTTACTTGTACTGGTCTATCTTGTAAAAAACATTTTATCCAATAAAACAATGAATCCACTAATTCCCACCTTTTTAAATGTTATTTAAAACCTTCCTTCCATATCCGCTTCCTCCATATGAAAAAAGACAGCCACCATACTCTCCTTACTAACTTGCCCTTTTTCTGATTTCATGTTCTAAACGTAGAATAGGATCCATACTGCTTCTACCTTTTCTAAGTCCACTTTGAAATGTTGATAAATATCTCCTCTTTTTAACAAAGTAGTTATATGTGAATTTAATGCAATATGTCTATAACTTGCTGGTTTGACCACTCTTTACCTGATTTTAGGTTTGGAACTATGATTGCTTCTTTCCATGCCATAGGTTAAAAAAAAACTATTTCCCAGGTGTTATTATACAATTCCAGGAAAACCTTTTAAGTTGAATTACTAAGCTCAATAACCATAATACAAGAAATATTATCATTCTTTTATTTCCTATTAACATTATTTAGTTCAAATAAAGAAAAGGGACCATTTAATAAGTCATTAGTTCTTACAATTTGTTCCAACAAATTAACATTTTTATTGATTGTACAAACTCTTCTCTGTTTTTCCTCTGTACTTATCACAACTGTGAACTTTAACAAAATTTTAACCAAAATGTTTCTCTTCTCCTCCTCTGTCACAGCAATAATATCTCCATCTTTCAAAACTGGATACAATTTGAAACAATTTCCGGTTTTGGCTGTTAAAAAAAAGGAGGGTCATCAGTTTAAGTGGACTATCTGCTGTAATATTAGATTTTTTAAAGTAATATGTAATCTCAGCTGAACATTTTACACTTTTATTTTGAAATATAAAAATGGCTTTTGGTATTAAAGTTTTTCCCCACATAATCTTCGACTCTAAAAACTAGAAAAAAATTCAGTTTGACTCACCAGTGTAATTCTAATCTGGCAGAACTTTAACATTAACCTGCACAGCAGACAAGGTTACATATAGTAAAAATTAACCTGTTAACCTTGACAATTTTTATATGTTTTTACCACATGAGACAGTAAGGTTTTTTACTGTCTGATCTGGACAGTAAAATAATTTAAGTAGTTTATCGCAACTTTCCAAGTTACAGTACTTTAAACTTTTAAAGTCAAAAGTCTTGGAAAACTTAAAGTAAGAAGTTTAAAGAAAGAAACTTCAAACTTTTGAAGGAGGAAATACAACTTCAGAGAACTTCATGATTTTTCTGACATAAACATCTAAAAGTCATCCTACCAATGCCAAAAGGAAAAAGTATAACAAGCTAAATGCTGAGCTTATTTTTATCCAGAGTTCAGAACATGACGTGTTAGAAAAACTTTTATAGCTGCACGCACAATAAAATGTCATCACATAACAGTGTGTGTAGCATAAACAATATTCAAAGTAGTATGATTGATGCAGCATGTTTGTGCCAGAATCACAGGAAATGTTGTGTTCTTTTAAGTTCTGTTTTTGTGCTTCCAAGTTTTGTTTTTAAACTGTGTCACACTAGGAAAAGCTCTGGTGAGACATCACAGAGGATGTCTGCGGACAACCCTGACCATCTTCTTCGTGAGACTGTATTGCGGGGCGGGGGGAGTGTCTTCAGTCAGAGGCTTCTTCAAAATCACTGTAATACAGACTGTTACAGAAGATCTTTCCTGTCAATAGCCATCACTGTCTACAATAACTATTTGAAGAATTAATGAGCTACAACAACTTTTAGTTTTCCTTTGGGATTGTTTAGGTAAATTCTTTATTCGTTTTGATAAAGGGGTATGCATAGAATCAGAGAAATGCACATTTGTCTTTAGATATTTTCTTTAGAAAATCAGAGTAAACATCACCGTCTGAGAAAAGAAAAGCAAGAGAGAAGAAGGAAGAAGTGAAACTTAACACATACAGTTCTCCTTTCATGTCTTATCAGTCACGTACATGGTGCCTACACCCATTTCTCTCTCAGTTTCTCCCATCTTGAGTTAATTTGTACCTCTGTCCATAAATCAAACCTGGTTCAAAGGAGTTCCGGTTTGAAAGAGAAGAAAAAACATCTTCACTGAAACCTCCGTTATCAGTTCCATAAGTATAACACTTGTTTATTTCTTCCCAGTAAATAAGCAAAAGTTTTATTTTCCAAGACGAGATCAATAAAGTATTTTTGAATTTGAATACTAAAAATATGTCCTTTTTTATTTCTTTGAACTGTTTTTAAATACAGTGCAATGAAAATCTGTTAATATACACTTACTGACTTTGACATGTTTACGTTTCTTTTTCTAAATACAATATTCCAATATCCTGAATAAACACATGTCAGAACTGAAAGTAATGCTGAGTTTTTATGAGGGCCATGATGTCATTTGAGAGCTCTTTATATTCAGGTCCCTGTGGAGCGGGCTTATTTAGGGAAAGGAAGAGAAAGAAGAAAGGACTGAAAGAAAACGTTTTTCCTTCGCACAGCCTACGTTCATGATGAAGCTTTACGGAGTTCTTGTCCTGTTTGTAACTTTTTCTGTTGGTAAGAATTTCTTGAATTTAACAAAAAGGGGGGAAATAAAACAAAGATTAAGTTTTATAAGCAATTCAGGTTTTGTCCTAAAGTTTAGGAGTTTCTCTATGACTTGATTCAAAGCTGTAAGTCATATATTTGTTTAAAGCTCTCATTATTAGTTTACAAAACATTTGAACTGGATTTTATATTTTTTGAAATTTTAAACCAAATTTTGAGTCTTGTTTTTATTGATTGATTGATTGATTGATTGATTGATTTACTCATTTCTGTAAAAATGTATATAGAAACGTACTGAATGTACTGAGTTCTGTATTTACAGTTCGGACGGGACTGTCTTAATGCCGTGTTCAACAGTACAAACAATTTATGTTTTCACCGTTAAAGGCTTTAAGACTTTCTTTTCATTTAATTGAAAATTTGTATTTAAGTGGCTTGTAAGTGTAATAAAAAAGACACACATCTGTCAAGTTCTTAGCTTGTTTTTGTTGTTATTGATAATGATGTTTAATTCTTTTGGTTCTTCATTTAGCATCCGGATTGAGATGCTACATATGTGTAACATCTGATCCCAGTGGCTGTACAAATTATTTGACTTGTCCTGATGGTTTCGACCGATGTGGTTCTTTTGAGTCAGAAGGTAAGAATTTAAATGTATGAGAATCTGTGCTGCTTGAACTGATCACTTGCAAAAAGATTTAACTTGTATGAGCTATTTGTGGACATTATAGAGCATATTTATGAATACTATTGAGAGGTTTTCTTGCTCTTACAGGACTGATTGACAGGGGCTGCTGGAAAAAGGCAGATTGCATTTCTCCCATTCAGTGCTGTGACAAGGACTTGTGCAACGGTGCCTTACTGACTCGCAACACTGCCGTACTGATTGGGAAAGGTGCCGTACTGATTGGCAACGGTACCTTTCTGACTGGCAAAGGTGCCGTACTGATTGGCAACGGTACCATTCTGACTGGAAAAGGTGCCGTACTGACTGGCAACGGTCCTGTACCAACTGGACCTGGTGTCACCCTGCTGCTCCTGTCTTCAGCCCTTATGATGCTCTTTATTTAAGGCTCTGAAATCATGATCCTGTTCTGGTTTATTGTTTTGTCTATTAACAGTTAACCTAAGTTGACAGCAAACATGAAGTCAGGACAAATATGCATTATTTATATTCATCATATAAAACACATATGTCTCTTTTAAACATGAAACAAAATTTGTAAGCTATGAAGGAATAAACAAATCAAATGCTCAATCAACAAATTGCTGTTATGTGGTCTTTTCAATTTCAGTTCATCAAATTATTTAAAGATAACTTGATCGACTATCATGTTTTTACATTTTCTAAGATTAAGAATAAAACATGAAGGATACCAGGCTCTTTCAGGGGCTGCAAATTCATTCAATAGTTATCTCTCATTTGTATTTAGTTTATTTTTTTAAATTATTATTTTTGCTCTGTACTTTTAAAGGGGGAGTATATTGTGTAAAAATCAATTTTTTGATCTTTATATTATGGTATAATATTATATTGTCATCACAAACATACCTGCAATGTTGCTTTGATTGTTTCATGCATGTTTGAGAAATATTTGAAGCTATTCAGGAGTGCCTAAACGGTTGCTCACACAAAGTGCTGACTATTTGCACAAAGCTCCTCCTTGGAGTTACAGGCCCCAGTCGAGCTTTCACCTCACAGAGCAGCTGTTTACCACTCATGGTGGAACTGGGAGTCTGCTGAGCTCATCATACAAACTACTTCTCAGTCCAACTCTCCTAAGAACTGTTGTAAACAGCATAATGAAGTAGTGTTGTTGTGACAATGTCTTGATGTGCAGCTGCCAATTAGGATCTTCTAGTTCTCTGGGATTATAGACTACAAATATTTAACATAGTTACACTCTTCCTTGTCAGCTGCTGTGCTTTATCTTAACTTTTGAAACAATACAGCATTCACATGTGCTCTGGTATGTTGTGTATAAGTAGTCAACATGGGCTGCCATGGAAAAAGATACTATGGCTATATTTTGGTCCCAGTCCAGCCCTGGTGGTGACATCATGCTGCCAGCATACTGGTCAGAGTTGACAGGAAGATACAAAATACAGGCCTAGAAGATAACCAGTTTCCTGAATTCCCTTTCTGTCTCTTACTCAGGCTGTTGTTCACAGCAGTGAAAGGTCCATCCATCCTCTGTATACCCTAGTGGGGTCGACAGGGGTGCTGGTGCCTATCCCCAGTGAACTTTTCGGGCGAGAGGCCGTGTACACCCTGGACAGGTCGCCAGAGACAG